GATAGAGAGAGAGAGAGAGAGAGAGAGAGAGAGAGAGAGAGAGAGAGGAATTTTTAATTTAATTGAACAACTTAGTTAACAAGTTCTATTTTAATAAATTAAAAATTTATCTTCTTTATCTTCAATTTATTAAAAATTCTAATTAAACCGTTAAGAATATCTTTTATATGTAATAAAGTCTTTAGACTTATGTGATCAATTAATAATTTTTAATTTTTATTATGTTGTAGGTGAATGTCGAAATTAAGTGGGAGTTTATGAATGAGAACAAAGAAAAAATAGTATGCTTAGAATTTCCAGCCAAAATTAAGTGATTCAAAAGATACAGCAAATGGAAAATATAGAAAAATATTGAAGATTTTATTTTGATAGAAATATGAAAGTGCCATTTTTTAATTAAATATTTTGACATAAATTTAATATGTAATATTTAACTTCAAATATTGTCATGTCAAAACATATTGATATATGAAAAAATGATGAGAGAAATAAATATAAATTTAAAAAGAACATTTTGTTGGTATATATGCTTGTATATATTTTAAATATCAATTTTTTTTAATTATAAACGATTTAGAATCTCAATAAATAAATAATACATTATTATATGTTTTATTTAGCATTTTATTAGATATTTTTCTTTGTAAAATATACTAATATGATAATTTTCTTTTGTAAACTAGTTCAGTTTGCAAAACTTGTTTTAAAAACTTGCAGTTATAAATAAGAAATAAAATTTTTGAAGTTAATGAATAATTCATTTAATCAAATTAAATGTTATTATTCTATTGAAATACTAGTTCAAATTTAGCTACACAGTTGTTTTTTCAGCTGCACTATATGTATACATTCTGCAGTCAAAACAATGAGTAAAGAATAAGAAAAATAAAATAAAATAAAAATTAGCAGAAAATGCAACGAGCTAAAAAAAGAAAATATTTTCGTTCGTTGAATCTAAAACTTTGGTAACTTCAGTTTTCTCCCTACTTTCTAAGTAAGTTATCATCAACTATTTATTGTATTCTCAACCTTATCTTGCGATCGATTGTCCATTTCAATCTGATGAATTGTTCGCTTACTACGTTGGACTTCGGAATTTTGTTGTTCATTTCTCAGTGTCTTCTCTGCCTGATAGATAGGTTCATATTCTCTTAGTTGAATCATAAAACCTTCGTTCGGATTTATGCAGAATCTTCTTTGTTGCACCATCGAATATGCATGCCTAAAATAAATATTAAAATATTAAAATATTTTTCGATATTATAAATTCAGTAAACAGGAGTGAGAATTATCGAATATGTAAAATAAATTTATAATTCTGTAATTCAGATAAAAATATTGTTATTTATAGAAAAAAATTTACATTTGTGAAAGTTCGTATGTTTCCATAACATACGCCAAGACCAACGCGGCAGATCTCGAAATACCAGCATTTCCATGAATGAGGACTCGACCGCCTAAATTTAAGGCTTCATCAATGAATGCTTTTACCCTTTTGAAATGTTGAATGATATTTTCCGTTATTGTATCAGCGATCTCCAAAACTAGGTATCTATAGAAAATGTAAGCATAAAATATAATTAAATATAAATACATAAAGAGAGAAATTAAAGACGCATTGATTCAAGAAAAATTTAAGTTGATATATATTACTATGAAAAAATCATAAACTTAATCGTAAAATTAAAACAAAATAAAATTAATAATTAAAAATATCAAGAAAATCAAAGAAATAAGAACTTTTTCAAGTTCTTAGACTCGTTTTTTCATTCTCTATTTTGTTAAGCTACTATATAAGCTGTTGCAATAAAAATCACATACTTGAAGCTGTTGGGAAAGTTTGGCTTTATAAGGTTTGCCTCAATAGCATGCCTGACACAAACTATATGTGTTATTCCATGATCAAGCAAAGATTGCAATTTAGAGCGACTCGCAGCACTATATGGACCAAGAAACACACCAGGTACCACTTCCTATAATACAAAATATAGACATATATATTAAATAAATAATATATAATTTTTTATAAAAGTAAGAAAATTAAATATATACTAATTTTTTACGAACTATATAAAATTATAACTCAAAAAGAAACTGTTTTAGATCGATATTCGTACATACGATATTTGTCAATCAATAAAATTAACAGATTATTGCTGGTAAATTTTTGTCAAACATTTTGTACACTGTCTTATTAATTTGACATAATCACCTGCATGTTTCTTCTCATTGTATAAGTCCATTCTTTAGGTCTCTCTACCCAGGGGATATTAGGAATTTCTGAGCAGTCATGGTCAGATTCTGATTCATTGCCTCCTCCATTGTCTTTCTATACAAGCAATTAATATATTCATTCACTTTCAGAAAGCTATGAAAATCATTTGTATCTTATTATATATTAAAAATATATTTTTTCTTAGAATAAAATTTTCAAGAAAATTTAAGCTAAAAATTCTGCGGCTTTCTAAAGGCTTTAATTACCAAAAATTTTAAGAGAAAAGGTTAAGTTTATTTGAACTCTTAATATTAATGATACATAATTTTTTATAAAAATAATAAAAAAATGTAATATAAAATTATAGACTATCAGAAGTATTATAAGATATAAGAAAACATTATGCAAGAGTAATAGGTCTATCTTCTAAACTGTAATATTTTTATTATTGTGTATATAAGCTGAACATACAAATCCGTCCATTCTCGGGAGGAAACGGAAACCAGAATTAAAGATACGAGGTCCATTCAAAATAGGACAAATCTGGTGTCGATGTCATTGCTAAATCCTAGTATTTTGCACGTCCCCGCTTGATTATCGCTGTTTCAATTGTTGCATAGTCTACACGGTGAGTGTACAATTTTGTTCCACTGACTCTCGTAATCCAATGACGGATGTTGCTCTTTATTGACTATCTCTTCACGCAGATATACTTGTTGTTAAACGAACGCTCGAGTTCTTAATCGTCATTATCTCTAATAGCTACGCGATGATGTAGGAATACATGATTTCATAACCTATCATCATATTATATATATATATATGTACGTATGTAGCAAATGTATGTATATATCGCAGAGAAAAGAGAGAGAGAAAGCAAAAGAAGCTTAAAATAGCCAGAGATAGCCTGAGATCTGATGGGCAGTGTTTTAAATGAAACTCGTCTACTGGCGCCTCTATGTGCACAAAGCGTGGAACTATGTAGCCATGGATACATCCGACGGGTAACATATCTATATTTTTCAACTTTAGGAGTTTTTTAGCAAGAGATACAAATTGACACAAAAGAATAATCTTGGCCTTGTTCGATATCAGAAACAAATAAAGACAAAATGACTCTTGAGTCAATTTGTGCATCTGCTGGAAAGCTCCCTTTGTTACCTATCATTACTAATACTAGCAGTTGATACTAGCCATGCTCTCTATCGTTGATTAATTAGTATTGATTGATATCACCAGGGGGTGCAAGCAGTCCCGTTTTGTCGTTATGTAATCGTAACTCGGTACGCACATCGCCGGGGGAAAGGTCAATTTGATATGGTGAAGGGAGGAGGGAAGTTATAAACCTCTCTATTATATATATTCAGAAAATTATAATTATTTGTTTGTTTTTATTATTTATTTATATATATTGTTTGTTTTATTATTTATTTATAATAACTGTAGAAGGCTTGCAATAGAGAGAGAGGTATATAATCACTAGATTACAAACTGTAATAGTAACACATTATATTAACATTATAATTTTTTACTTAATATAAGTGTGAAATAACACATGTATTGTACTAATAGTTATATGTTATTAAATAAAATTAAAAACGTAAAAATAATAATATGTCTCAAAAAGAATAAAATTAATAATAATAGACTAGAAAAGCTACGAGCAAACAATATCTTATAATATTTAAAATATAAAAATAATAAACATAATAAACAGACGTTTTGATAACAATCAGGTGATTATTAATTAATATTAAGCGAATTTAAATTATAATATAAAAATAGCAGTTATGCGTACATATTTTATAGTTAGATAAAACATAAAAATATAAAAAAAATATGACAAGTTACTCTCTTCTATCCAACAAATTTATGTGTTCGATGATTCAGACGGACAAATGTGGTTCAGTTGATTGTACAACCGAATTAATAGTCATATTAACAGTAATTATTCGATGTTCTTCTGATGGGTGGATTTTTTTTTCTCGTATAAATTATACATTCTTGATCAATGTGAGTCAAACGATAAAAGTTTCACAGTACAAATTCAGTCTCAACAGAAATGAAAATAAAGCAATAATGCGATAGAGATCACAGTGTAAAAATATTTTCAAATCTATTTCAAGAGATGTTATAAATTCATAAAATTAATTAATAATATCTTAATTTTTTTTATCGCACAGTTCTTTAAGGATGTTTTATACATATTTTCAAAACAATAACAAAATTATGAAAAAATTATAGATTATAAATCATGTTTAAAAATAATACGACAAATTTGATGACGATTTACTATCTGAACTATAAGTTATTCTAATAAATAGTAGTATTTTTTAAATCTGTGTTCTAATAAAAATATATGGAAATGTATTATAAAATAAATGATAAAAATCTCAATTTTTTAATATAAGTACATTATATATTGAAGATTATTTACGTAGAGTTATATTGCGATGAATGAACTAGTTTTTCAAAATATTTATTTGTTCTATATCTTTGTAACTATTCAGTAAATTGCAATGAAACTTTGCATAAATTATTTTGAATGTTTGAAGTACTTATAAAAGAAAAATGTAAATTTTTTAATTATTTAAAAAAATTTTCATTTTTAATAATAAAAATAATAACAAATAAAATAAATAAACAAAAATGTGTTATTAAACACAAATATAATCTTATTCATACAACTTTCATATGTATATGGTTTATTTGAAGTATAAATATTAAAAATCCAAATTTAATTTTCTTTGCATAGACTATATATTTACGTCTAATATATCCTTAAAGAAGAACATCCTAAAACTTAATGGATGTTGCTCGAAAAATTGTGTTATTGTGTGAGTAATTTGTGTTCTGTACGTATTTATATATATTTTATTCATTCACATTAATTATATAATCATTCATTTATCGAGATCGAGAGATTGCTCTCTTAGCAGAAATAGGCGTTTAATATGTTAAAATACAAAATTTGCAAATAGTAAATAATAAGAGAAAGGATATGTAAAATAACAGCAGAAATGTCAGTATGACGATTGCAAAAAGAGATAATTATGATAATAAGTTTTTTATGCTACTTGCATGAGGAGTATTAACAAATTTTTAAGTTATTTCAAACGTATGTGTTTAAATATGGAATGTTACATGATGTTAATGACAAATATGTT